TTTACAGCTGGATAGTGTGCAAAGTATAAAAGCTGTATAAGTTAAAATAAGTAAACAGTGAATGATGACAAAAGAGTCACTTATGCGAGATGAGCAGCGTACAAATGTTATAAAATAAATAAATAAATCAAGTTTTATCAAGGAAACTGCTGCCTGGAAAATATGAAACTTGGTAGGTAGCAAAATAACCTGATCTGTCATAAATATTCTTATGGGTGAAAAGTCTGGCTTTTATCATGGTATTATGGAGAATCTGAAACAATTAATATGCAAAAGTTCTTAGCGGTTCAAAGGTTAATCCATTTAGAGACATTTTGGAGCTAAGCAGCCAACAAATTTAATAAATAAATAATACATATATACAGGTATTTAACCTTCAAAAATGTCCCTTGGCTTTTTAATGTCATCCATTAATATATGTTGCTGTATTCTTATTTGAAAAAATTACTTTAATAACATTATACAGTAGATGGGGAAATTACGCTTTGGGAAATACTTTTACTTCACTTAGAAGGAAGGATAATTATTAAGCAGCTTTAAGGGTTTTTTTCCGTTTATTTTTCAGCACAGCCCAGCACTATTACTATAATATTATCAAGCAATTCCTTTTAGGCATGTGTAGATATTTTATATTACTAAATATAAATTGAAAAAATGTTTCTTATGACCATTTTTCATACTTACAACTGTTGCAGCATCTCCATGGTCATGTGATCAAAATCCAGATGCTTGGCACCTGGCATGTATAGTATTTATGATGGTTACAGTATGCTAGGATCATGTGAACACCTTTAGCAATCTCCTGACAAGCAAAGTCAATGGGGAACCTAGATTCCCCTAACAACTGTGTTACTAACTTAACAACTTCAATGATTCACTTAAGAACTGTGGCAAGAAATATACACTTTTCCAAATTAAAAGCAAAGGATGATTTCTTTGTGATTAGAAGATAATTTGTAGGAACAGATATATAATGTATGTATGTATGCATGCATGCATGCATACATACATACATACATACATATATATATGTATGTTTTCTGAGGTTCTCGCGGGTATTAGTATGTGGATCTTTGGTTATTCGGGTTTTCTCCCGCGTAAGATTGGAAGTATCTAGGCAACGTTTCGATGAAGTCTCATTCATCATCTTCAGGCTTCTATCTTCGGCTCTGTGCTTCTCGGAGTAATTTGAGCTTGCAGCTGCTTCTTCCTTTTAACTGCTAGTGGGGGTGTGACTTGATTGGGTGGGGGCTTGGCTGTGTTCTGATTGGGTGGGGGTGTGTTCTCATTGGTTGGGGGTTTGGCAGTGTTCTGATTGGTTGTGGGGTTGGCCATGTTCTGATTGGCTGGAGGTGTGTTCTGTTCCGATGGGGGCTTGGTTGTGCTCAGGTTAGTCTTAGTTGCTGGGGGATTTGGGCTGGTGAGCTGTGATCCTGCTGTTTGGCTTCGAGTTTGTGGTCGTGCTGCATCTTCATGGTGGGTGTCAGTTTGCTTCATGTATAGCTCAGAGGGGTTTGAAGTGGGTAGTGATGCAGCTGCAGTGCGGCTTCTGGTCCGTGGTCATGTCTCATCTTCTGTGTGGGTGTGAGTCTGCTTTCTGCGTGGAAGTGTGGCGGTGGCATCTTGTGTGACCCTCATGGGTGTGGGTCTGGTGTCATTCTTCATGTTAGGTACTCATCTGTTCATGAGGGCAGGTTTCCAAATGGCTGGTAGGCGGGAGGTGTCATCTCGTTTATTCATGCTGTGTGGGCATTTTTCTATCTCTATGGCTTTTCTGATTATTCTGCTGTTGAAGTGTTCGGTTTTGGCGACAGTTCTGGTATTTTTAAAGTCAATCTCATGTCCTGTGGCTTTGAGGTGTTGGACCAGGGAAGAGGTCGGTTCTTCTTTTCCCTTGCGCCGCCTGCCCCACCACATACATTGGACAAACTAACAGAAGAATAAGTGCACGCATTGAAGAACATAAGAACTCTATCAAAAAAGAAGAACCGACCTCTTCCCTGGTCCAACACCTCAAAGCTGTAGCGACGTTTCAGCAGAATCTCATCTGCCATCATCAGGCTTCTGTATAGTATTCATCTGTGAGTCAGGCTTTTATAGTGGTTTCAGATTTAAATTTGGGGCAGCCTATTGCTGTGCCAGAATGGTTTTTTCTTCACCCTGATTGGTTGGGAGTCTTGGTCTTGGAGTTTGCTGTGTTCTGCTTGATTGGTGTTTCTTATATCTCCTGTCTGTTTTTTGGCTCTTTTTGTCTCTTGATTGGCTGGCAACATTGTATTACTTTATTGGAGGCCTTTAGTGCAGCTTGGCTCCGGGTAAATGGATGGCTATCATTAGTTAGGAAGCTAGGTTTCATCTGGGTGCCTGGTTGGGGTGTGTTTGAGCTGGAGGTATCAGGGGGGATCTGTTTGTGCCCAGGTGTTTGGCTGGCTTGTGGTGTGGAGATTTTTTTGTTTCTGAGTGCAGGCTTCCAAATGATTGACAGTCTGGTGGAATTATCTCTTCTATTCATGCTTTCAGGTTTTTTTAAATCTCTATGGCTTCTCTGATAATTCTGTGTTATCAGACTGTGTTCGTCAGACGAACACTATACAGAAGCCTGATGATGGCAGATGAGATTCTGCTGAAACGTTGCTACAACTTTAAAAGGACAACTATTATGACGTGGGAAAATACCTGAACAAAGTTGAATACCATACATATATACATATATACATATATACATACATACATACATACATACATACATACATACATACATACATACAGGTCTAGGTGTGTTCGGATCTTTTCCCATGTAAGATTAAGAGTATCTTGGTGACGTTTTGGCGAGGTCCCACTTGCCATCCTCAGGCTGGTGCTTTCGGCTTCGTGCCAATGCAAGAGGGTGTGATCGGAGCTGCCGTCTCTCTATAAATACTGGTGGTGGGGGCTGGTGTGCTGGGCTGGCTGGCTGCGCTGCTGCCTCTTGATTGGTTGATGGAGTTGATGTTGGTATAATGGGCTGTGTGATGGCCTTGTGAGTTTTGTTGTGGAGATATCCTGGATCTTGTGCTGTAATCTGCTGGGTCGTTTGTGTTTTGATCTCTTCTCCTGTGTAGTAACGGCTTGGGCAATGGGTTGTGTGATGACCTTGTGAGATTTATTGCTGTGGTATACTTGGTCTTGTGCTGTGGTATCCTGGGTCATTTGCTGTGTTGTAACTTCTTGAGTTCTTGTGGTGTAATTTCCTGAGTTTTCTGATGTGATGTCCTGAGCAGGTGGCTGTGATTCTGGGTTTTAGTCTGGCTTCGAGTTTGGGGTTTGGGTCTGTGTTCTTGGTGTGTGTCAGCTTGTTTGGTTTTGGGATCGGGAGGTACGACAGCTGGCGAAGAAGCCGTGATCTGTTTTCTGGATGGTGGTTGTCCTTCATTTATAGGATGGGCTTGGGCCTGGATCTGATGAGGGGGATTGGCGGTGGTGTCCCATGTTGTTTTGGGTCTGGTGTTGGTTTTCGTGGCTGGAATTCATTTGTTGGTATGGGCTGGCTTCCAGATGCCTGGTAGGTGGGAGGTATCATCCCGTCTATTCATGTTATGGGGGTGTTTCTCTATCTTGATGGCTTCCCTGATTATTGTCTTGCTGGAGTGTTCAGTGTTGGATATTAATTTGCTTCCTTCAAAATTAATTTCATTTCCTGTGGCTTTAAGGTGCTGGAAGAGGGAGGAAGTATTTTCTTCTTTTCTGACTGCGTTTTTGTGTTCTGCGATGCGTGCATTTATTCTCCTGTTGGTCTGTCCAATGTATGTGGCTGGGCAATTGCTGTATGGTATTTAATAAACTCCTTGGTTTTCTAGCTGGATTTTGTCTTTGGGGTTTCTTGGGATGTTGGCTCTTTTTTGGTCAGTGCCGAAGGCTTTCCTGATATTGTGTTTGTGGAGAATTTTGCTGATTTTATCTGTGGTGCCTTTGATGTAAGGGAGGAGTGCGATACCGTTGTCTTGTTCTGTGTCTTGGTTTTTTTGGGGTATCTCTTTTCGGATTAGATTGGTGATAGTGTTTCTTTGGAATCCATTGGAAATTAATACGTTAGTGAGGGTGTGTAGTTCTGTTCTCAGGTGGACTTTGTCAGCTAGGCGTTTGGTTCTGGAGATGAGGGTCTTGGCTACGGAGTTGATCTGTGCAGGGTGGTGATGGGATTGTGCATTTAGGTAGCGGTTGGTATATGTTTTTTTCCAGTAGATGGTGTGTCCTAGGGAGCCATTGAGTTTTTTGTAAATTAGGACGTCCAGGAAGGGAAGTTGGTTGTTGGTTTCTGTTTTCATGGTGAATTGTATTTTGGGGTGTAGGTTGTTAAGATGTGTGAGGAAGTTGTCTAGTTTTCCTTTCCCGTCTGGCCAAATTATGAAATCCATTACCAAATTACACAACCCATTACCCAAGCTGTTAAAACACGAGAGGCTAACGGAAAAAAGATCACTACAAAACAAACAACCCAGCAGATTACAGCACAAGATCCAGGATATCTCCACAACAAAACTCACAAGGCCATCAAACAGCCCATTATACCAACATCAACTCCATCAACCAATCAAGAGGCAGCAGCGCAGCCAACCAACTCAGCACACCAGCCCCCACCACCAGTATTTATAGAGAGACGGCAGCTCCGATCACACACTGCTTGCACTGGCATGAAGCTGAAAGCACCAGCCTGAGGATGGCAAGTGGGACCTCGCCGAAACGTCACCAAGATACTATTAATCTTACATGGGAAAAGACCCGAACACACCTAGACCTACATACCTGTACCCATGAAAATCTACGAAAACACACACACACACACACACACACACACACACACACATTGAACATGAAGAAATGTGACTGAAACTACTAGAAATAATAAAGAATGAAAGGATAGATAGCTATTTCTTTAATAATTATTTACATTATTTAATAAGTTCATTGTAATAATTGTCTTTTTTTAATGAACTAATTTCTTTAAAAAAACTTCAGGGAGCATTCTCTCAAAAATCATGGATGAAGATGCCCTCAAGATTCCTGAAGAAAAGGAAGAAGTTCTTTCGTGTTTGGAGGAGAAATTTCCAGAACTTTCCTCCCGAAAAGACATTATCACTTTCCTTCAGGAGGCACAGCTGCATGCTGATGGTACAGCATTGCTTTAATTTTTCCTTTTTTTCTTTATTTGAGCTGTCTAGTACTTTCTCATTAAATGTCTGCCGGACTCTTAACTTTATTAGAATAATGAGTAGTAATTGCTGGTTTAGTTCCAGATCTGAATGTTGGCTATTTTCTAAACAACACTTGTTATGAGATATGTCTCCATATATCTGGCTTATTTTATGTTGGCTCAGTACCAATCATTTCGAATCAGCAATTCTGAAAATACTTAGAAAAGAGTGTACGTTCTTTTATTGCATCGAAATGTTTCTATATATATGGGCTAAAAGTTAATAACTTGGGAGAATATCTGGATGTTGGTATAGATATAGATATACAGTAGATCATATATTTAATATATTGAAAGCCAGGTCTCAAGATCCTGAAATGCAAACACAACATGGACTCCACCTTCTCTGTTCCCCAATGCTACTGCATCTCTCTCTCTGCAGTGGGTTGCTATTCACTGAATCTCTACATGAAAACATGTCTGAATAAAAGATTAAACAATTATTATGACCTGATTACAGAGCAAATGTGAAGTTCCTGTAAAGCTGCTGCCCCTCCTTCATTGCTCTGTATCATAATCCTTATATTAAAGAAATTGTTCTTAACTAGAAAGGAACTATATTCCAACAGGTTCCTGTTACGTTTGCATTGATAGATACTTTTGGTCATCTAGTTTTATCTCAGATTGACCAAGCATAGATGAATCTTGTTGATATCAAAAGGCTTTTGAATTATCATGTTTTCTTGGAAGAAAATTAGAAATCTTACTCCTTATGCATGTGTGTATGCATACAAACACTAACTTATACTTAGCAAAAATGATTTTAAGCAAAAATGAATGATTTTCTATCTATTCCACAGAGCTGAGGATTGAGGAAGCTTTGGTCAAGGATCTCAAAGAGGTGTCAGATGGAGAAATAAAAGTAGCAGTTAGCACCATATATATCAATTTAGAGGTAAGGAAAAATCAAACTGGAGGCTTTCACCAGAAATTACCTGAAGTTTTTCTTATATGTTTTATAGTTATAAGGATTTTTAAAACTGTTGATGGATTTTTTTGACTTCATTTGTGTTGTTAATATTCTAGAATAACTTTTTTTGGTTTGGACATTTGAAATATATTCTCAAACAATCCTCCAGCAACACAAGGCCTGAATCATTGTATTCATGGTTGTCAAGACCTTAGATTCAAATTTTTAACTACTGGTTCTGTAGGCGTGGCTTGGTGGGCATGGCAGAGGAAGGAGACTGTAAAATCTCCAGTCAGATATGGTATTTGCCAGTTCTCTGAATTACTCAAAATTTCCGCTACCGGTTCTCCAGAACTGGTCAGAACCTGCTGAATAACACCTCTGTTCATTACCCAAAACCACTTATCAGAAAGTCCTTTAATGTCGCTGTAAAAATTAGATAATGGGTTTGTTTGTTGTTACCCAAAGAAAACCAACTTTATTCCATTTGGGGTAATTTACCTAGGTTTGTGAAGCATTGCCATAGGGGCTCACTTATGGCTGGGATTTATCATCTTATTAACTTTTTCTCTGTTGTGTATGTCTACCTACACATAAGATAGTAATGAAAGAAGGGCAAACCAACCCTAATCTTACAAAGAGACATGGCTACATGTTTCCATGTAAGAAATCCCAGAATAACTTCTATCATCTCCAATTAAAGTAATAAGGACCAGAAAAACTAATCCAGACATTTCAGAGCTAACAGCACTGGCAAAACATAGTAGTCATAATATAGTTTCTTAAAAATAATTGGAAAACATGGATTAAGTATTGTTTGAAAAAAAGAAAAATATTATGTATTTACCCAGATAACGTACTATATTCAGCTTTCTAATTTTCCCATTAAAGAAATGCATGATATCAGTGATTGATTATTTTTGCAATACATACTTATCATAATGATATCTGCTACATGGTAAGAGATATGCACCACATACTGTGATTGGTATATTTATTTCCTAGGAATTTAAACTTACTTGTTATTGGGCATGTTGCTAAGCATTATAGATTGAACTGCAGTGTTGATATCTGCCATTCTGCTTGGTTTTAAATATTTTTGGGGGGCGGGGGGGGGGAGACATTACAAAATACAAACTTGTCAAATATGTCTGTTTAATATTGATGGGATGTTTTGAAAAATAGAAGTGAAAATCTCTGGTGGAAAATTGTTCTTGAGTGCCACTGCAGAAAGACCTAGATAATTGCTGCCAAGAAAACTGTATGAACATAAAAACCCCAGGAGTTGAGCTGGACATAAGGAGACTTTATTGGTTTTTTTAAGCGTTTTGATCACACGAAAGGCCTTGTATTAGTTTATAGCTAGACAACCTGTGACCCATTGTGTAATCATTTCAGAGATAAATTAGATATCTAACATTTTGTATTATGTCCTAAATGTTTTATATGTTTTATGTCCTAAAATGTTTTGTAAAACTTGCCGAATTTCAATTCCACAGGAGTCATGGGTTCTGAATTTTGGATGTATTCTGTAAATTAGCCCGTTTGAGGTACCTTGGTTCAAAAATTATTGCCCTATGATATACCCTTTTGCCCTGTTAAAATCATGACCAAGAGTTTTAATAATATCTAGATTGCACTAAGCCTTAAATGGTATTTTATGGACTATATTCAGGCTGATTATAGAATTTGATTTCAATTTAGAAAGCCCAATAAAATTAAGGTATCTTTAATACTTTAATAATGACATGTGAAATAAATTTCAGACTTTGTAAAATAAAATTCTCCAGATGCTTCTTACAAAGGCATAGGATACAAAAAATAAATGATTTATGGCGCTGTAGGAATGTGATTTTTGCAGACTACCTTATGTCTAAGGAACATTAAACATAGGGTTTTTGTTTAGCAAATAAATAACCATTCACTTCAATGGTTGCATAGTCTGGACTTCTGTGCATATTTTTGCAAAGATAAGGAAGGGCCATTAGGGATTTAATATAAAATAAATCGCCAAGGGCTCTTCTTGTAGTCCTAGTCTTTCTGCCACATGGTGTGTTACTAATGTGTATAAATGGGCTTAAATGAATGTGTTATCTGTACTACATTTGCCGTGTGTATATAGATATTATTTTAATTGTATTTTTTGTAAAAGAACATATATCATATTTTTGGATCTTGAAAATATTCTACACATAAACAGATTAAATTTCAAGTATCAGATAATCTTTGCCTATAGGTGATGTTTTGATGTATTTGTTGTACGTCAGGAAGTATACTTTGATTTTGTCCTGTCATACGTATTCCTAGTTAAGCAATCATGTTCTAAGGATAAATGGGGAAGTCAAAGATCCATTATCAAATACCTTCTGTTCACGAGGCTATCATTTAAATTTGTGTACCACTATGGAGGGTAGTAGTGGTGATATTGTTGATGCTTTAGGTCAAATTAAAACTGACATCTGTAATGATAAACGCCACACCTGCATAGGCTTAAAAATGTGATGCTTTCTGAGACTGTTTCCAATTTAGGTAACTCCTAAAATGGACTTGAAATGTTAATTTGTCTGTACAATATAGTGATACTTCATTGCTTTGCCCATACATAAATGTGACAGATAACCAGGAAGTTACCTAGCTTAGAAGCTTACTAAGTGAAAACAATGCAGTTCTTGAACCTAGTTGTACTATAATTATAAACCACGTTTTATAGCTTAACATATGTTTACAGAACTAACTTTGGTTAAACAAACTATGATGTTGTTAGGGGGTGGGGATTCTTTGGAAATCCATATAAAAAGATAAATCAGTACAGAAATCATGGGCATCATTGGGAGGCCAAAAGGCAAAATCTGAATGGTGGCATGGCAATGCAGTGGCTATCCCTTTTATATTTCCATCATTTTGACAAACATTCAGCTTGCTGTGAATTCCCCTGACTAAAATATCCACTGTACATGCAGATGCCTGTCATTAAATATGTTATTTGTCCTGAGGGTGGATCGTCTCACTATCACTGTTTATTGATTTATCCCAGATTATATAATGCTATAATATGATTTGTACAACCTTACAAGCTGCAAGGGCTCAGTTTATCCCAAAGTCTGTAGGAAGTCAAGTGACATTTTGGGATGGGGGATTTTATTCTTGTACTGTTGTATATAAGCACATACACACTTCTTGCAGTTTTATTCCATTCTTCATGCAAGGATTTCACAGTGTCATGTATTGTGTTCTCCATTTTTATCCATCAATAGCCAGTTAGTTCCAAAGATGCTTTTTTCTCAAAAGGCAACTGGACTTTCTTGGGTTTTTTTCCTTTGAAAGTGTTTCACTTTTTGTCCAAGACACTTCTTCAGTTCTAACTGGTAGGGAATGTAAGAAGCTTCTTAGATGAGAAGCAAAATGTTTTCAAAGGGAAAAAAAAACTAGGAAAATCCAGTTGCCCTTTGTGGGAAAAAACACAACCAGGAATAATTGAGATTCTCCATAAACAATAGTCTGTTAGGTACACTACTATATACAGACATCATTATGATTCAAGGCAATGAACTTCATAACATTTGAATGCCAATGTTCACTGCTTGAGTACACGGATATATATTATGTCCATAATGATTCCATGTATTGTGAAGCTAAGACAACCAAACTGCATCACTTTAAGATTTCCAATAAAAAGATTACTCTATTGAGTTTTTGGTTTATCGTACGTTGGAAAAGAAAGTAAAAGTTAGGTTTTCTGGCATGACATTTATGTTCTGGGATCAGACTTGCTGGAAGTGGACTGCAAAAAATGAGCAGGGCAGAAAAACCCTGAATGGAGAGAGTTGGTTTCTATTCCTTTTTTTTTTTTCTTATTGTTGCTACTATGTTACAGTAAGCAGGTCTATGGATTCTTTGCTATGGATCTTTAATAACTCTTTCTTTGGCTGCTGTTTCTCCTCAGCAAACATTTACTGATCTAATTTTGTTCCTTATGTACATATCATAATAACTAGCTTTGTATATTAGGGTCATGCATAAAAAGGGATCATAACAAGTAGAGGCAGGACCTGATTTGCACATTTCACCAGGAAAGGAGCTAATTATAAGAGTTAATTTTCAGCACCACATCTTTCTTCAGAATTAATGTGGTTACAGGTAGCTGCAAACAGGCCCTTTGTGCTATTTAACTCCTAGCCGAAAGACTGAGGCCTTTTCATAAGTAAATGCACTATTTATTAGACTTTATGTATACCCTGTACCCAAATTCATGAAAGCTATTGATAATAACACTTTTCTTTTTCTAAATCCCAGTTCGGGACACTTCTCTCCCACAGTGGTTTTATCTTTAGGCACATGCAGTCCTACCTAATTATTGGATCTTCTATAATGCCGGTGAATGTCAGATGCTGCCATTTATTAGTGTGCACAAAATTGGGCCTTGCAGTTAAAATTTTTATATATGAAGCTGTTGAAGTCCTGTCAGCAGCTAGTTCTTTTCCATGATACTGAAATTCTATTCTATTCTATTCTATTCTATTCTATTCTATTCTATTCTAT